AACTTTACGCCAGCTTTACGCCACCATCACGCTCACTTAAATGTCTTTTTTCGTGCTGTGTTATAACATTTAGCAATTATCAACCAATTGTCCAAGGCAAAAGCTAAAAATGGAGTAACATAGACAAGTCAGACAACCATCAAAATGAGAAGGGATTGAGCCCAGGGGTCATTTCATTTATTAGGCTCGAGTAGGCTGAATATGATCGTCCGGGTGAGCGTATATATAGTCGTCAACAGGTCACTGTTGTAGACAGTAAGTGACGTTTCGAAAACCTGTGCAGAAGTCACCTTCGCTTCAGAGTCAAATTGAGATGTGTCACGTCAGTTGATGGTATTCAGCTCTGGTTATTGACTTGATTGGACATTTAAGTCGCGATATGTTATTGGTCGTCTGTCATTTAAGCTGTGGTATTATTGGCTATGATGACTGTTTATTTGTGCGTTTCAATCCGTCCAGCTATTACCATCGCAAGTGAAACAGTCGTTTACTGTTAGTCAAATTGTCGGTTGTCCAATCATTCTATCGTCGTTAGTTTTGCTTGAGTCCGTTTGCAATAAGTCGTTTGTGCGGTGCCGGTAACTGTTGACTACGATTCAGTGGCGTTTGTTGTAAGTTAGTAAACCACCTTTTGCGTTGATAGTAGTCTGTAGAATAAGCAATACAAGTCGCAGAGTCCCAGTCGATTTGATGCAGTCTCGTCATTAAATGGTGATTGTTACCAAGTTAGTGCCTTTTGATGTGAAATAACTGTTCACCAGTATTCTACTATTTAAAACTATGAACAGTTTATATGTTTGCGAAAATTCAGTGTTTCCCATACCGCCTTTTACCCTCACCGACAAATAACTGCTTTTAAAGCCAAAAATATATTTATTATTATTATTATTATTATTATTATTATTATTATTATTATTATGGCAGTACAAACGTCTGGATGCCGAGACTAAAAAATAAAAGCTTTGGCTGGGCGACAAACCGTAACCAGCCGCAGCATCGACTAAAATTTGTAGAAACAATTACACAATAATTTGCCCACAAAAAAAAAAACCTGGGTAAAATGATTTGATAAAAGTGTCATAAAAATAAATAAATAAATAAATAAATAAATGAAATCCTACAAGCTTTATGGACGTCTTAATTATAAAATAACACTGTTCATATAGCTGTCCATTTAATTATGGGAACGTCTAAGGTACCGGTATGTAATTAAAATTTCGATGGTAGGAGAATTTTCACTGATATGCTGCACCTCTATGGCACACGGGGCGAATACTAAGATATGGGCGAAAATAATTTCCGCATATGCGAAGAAGTGCAGCATAACCGGGTTTTCGTCGCTGAGGGGAGGAGGGGGGGCAAAAAACGCAAGTATATATGCCCTCTCGGGGCATGAACGCATAGAAAAGCGATCTGAAAAGGGATCCTGATGTTGGCAAAACATTTAAATACCACGCTCAATACCCAGGGGTAATGCAAGGGTCCCAGGAGGGAAAACGTGCTAAATTATGGGGTCCGCGTGCCCACTTCGAAGCAAACATATCAATGAAAATAGTAGGAGAATTTTCATTGATACGCTGCACCTCTATGGCACACCCGGAGAATACTAAGATATGGGCGAAAATAATGCCGCACGAGAAAACAACCTGGCGGCAGGTGCAGAGACTTAGAACTACCGTCTTTTGGCTAAGCATATTTTCTTGAAAAGAAGCAAGTTTAACCTTCTCATCTAGGGGCATTAAAAACGTAGTGTAAGGAAAATCTATGATAAACCACAGAAAAGCGACGTTTGCGTGGGAACAAGGGTCGACTTTCCAAAGCCAAAGAAATAGCCGAGACCGATGAGGGAGACGGGAGCGGACCGGCCCAACTAGCGGGCTCCCCTTCCAGTTACACTAGGAATGATCAGATCTGACGGAATCTCTTGCGTTTTAACAGAAGTTAAACAGTGCTTAAAAGCGAAATGATTGGAAATAGATTACCACGAAGGCAACGCACATATACCCCACGTGATAGCGTTAAACCGTAACTGGAAAAGAAATAAAGAGGGAAGAGGGGAGCCACCAACCAGGCCGATCCAGGAACCCCGTCACAGACAGAGTATCGGGCATAATTTAGAACTACCCGCCCCAGATCGACCGGACTGATAGCAGGGGCACAAGACCGAAAGTCATGAAATAACGACACATTTCTCGAAGCGAGTAAAACAACACACAAGAAAAAAACAACCAAAACAAAGCGATGGGCCGATTTGCGTGACACGAGGTATACATGTAGTCGAGATGAACCTGCATAAATAACTATAAGCCCATAAAACTAAAAACAAATGGCAAACGCCGAATAAATCTGGAAAATAGAAAACAGCCCAGGCTGCTGAACCATAGAACCGCGGATGACTAATTCCAGATAACAGGATGAAAGCGGCCGTCTTCCGTTTAAGAGCCCCCCAGTGTGTACATCGCGCACTGATATTTGTAAACAAAACAGAACAGAGATGCCATGATTATGAATTCTAAATTCGAACCAGAAAAACCGATGATAAAAGCACGTGCCGTGGTACTGGCAATGGAAGTTTAACACTTTAACATCCCTTAAAAATGCCAAGAGAATAAAAGACGAGAAAACAAAAGGGCCCGGGGAAATAAACTAGAAAAAACTAATGTTTCAACTTCTATAACATTGACGAACAAACAAAGAAATAGAGAAGAAAATTTTCGAATACTGGAACTAGTTGCGGAAAAGAAAACGTAAGCAACAACGAACGCGAATAAAAACGCGACAAACTACAGGATATGCGAAGGAGCACGCATACAGAAAAAACACGGACCGCAAAGTGTAGAAAATGTGAAATACAAGACCAAAACGATCCCAAAAGGGAGGAACGACATACTGAATAAATAAGAGCAGGAGATGCCAAATACTAGACTGAGCGTGACACAAACTACGAAAACTAAACGAGGAGCAGAATATACCATAAACAAACCAGCCTGAAAGGGATACGCGCTATAACGGCTGAGGAAACCTACGAGCGACACGCGTTATAAAAACTAGTCTAAAAACGTCTAAAGCTAGAAATGCCGCTAACCTTAAGGCGACACACGCCATGGCAACAACTTCAAGGTGGTACATGCCCGGGCAAATTGTAAGCGACACGTGCTATGAACACTAAATGGAGAGCAAAATATAGCGACACACGTCAGAAATGGCTAACCGGAAGGTGACACACGCCGTAGAAACAACAACAACCTAAAGGCGGCAAACGCCGAGAAAACATCCTGAAGGCGGCACACGCCATGAAAACAACCTGAAGGCAACACACGCCGTGAAAACAGCTTATAAGCGACACACGCTAGAAATGGCCAACTGGAGGGTGGCACAGGCCGTGAAAACAACCTGAAGGCGACACACGCCGTAAAAACAAGCTGAAGGCGACACACGCCTTGAAAACAACTTATAAGCGACACACGCTATAAACACAAAATGGAGAGCAAGAAAGACACCATGAAACTAGTGAAAGCGACACACGCCAGAAACGGCTAACCGGAAGGTGACACACGCCATAGAAACAACCTAAAGGCGACAAACGCCGTGAAAGCAACCTGAAGGCGACACACGCCATGAAAACAACTTACAAGCGACACAGGCTGAAATGGCTAACTGGAAGGCGACACACGCCGTGAAAACAACCTGAAGGCGACACACACCGTAAAAACAACCTGAAGGGGACACACGCCATGAAAAAACATACTTATAAGCGACGCACGCTATAAACACAAAATGGAGAGCAAAATACGAAAGACACCATGAAACTAGTGAAAGCGACTCACGTCAAAAATGGCTAACTGGAGGGCGACACACCGAGAAAACCAACGTGAAGGCGACACATGCTATAACAACTGAAAGCGACGTACGCTATGAAACAACTCGAAGCGACACTCCCTATGAAATGAAATGGAGAATGATACCCGCCATGAAATCCAGTCTGAAAGCGACTCACGCTATAAAAGGTAACCCGAAGGAGGTATCACAGCCGGGCGAACGGCTTCCAAAACATAAGGAAGGATAGCGTCAGGAGCCTAGGCCATGCTCAGCGACGAAAACCGGAATGGCACACAAAAAACGCAAGTATATATGCCCTCTCGGGGCATAGAACGCATAGAAAAGCGATCTGAAAAGTGATCCTGATGTTGGCAAAACATTTA